ATCCCTGTGCTGGGTACACTGTTTACACCACTGGTTGTAGTGTCACCGTGTCACTCGCCTGTAGACCCAACTCTGGTTGGAGGGATAAAAGTCCCTTGTTGTGTCTAAACAAACACATGTGACTCCATCTCTGTTCACTGACAAACTTCAAAATTCATTTGTGCACATGACTTTGAACATGGAAAGTCCTGCTCCAGATAGAGAGAACACTGGAAGGTCCTTGGGCCCAGGTATGAGCAGGGAGGGTCACAGTAGAGTGGACTCTGTCATCTGCCCCTTTGCCGGCTGCTCTGTTAGCTCTGTGCATCTGGAGACGGTCAGGACCACCTGCCCAGCAGAAGGCAGAGGTGTTCTAGAACAGGTGGACTTCAGGTGGCTGGCATTTGAGCTGGCTATCACACAGAAATGAAATCCCATGTTTTGCATGAGCTAAACTAGTTCCTAGAGGTGTCTTTGTGCCCATATAGTGAAACTTTTTAAAGGTTAGTTGTTAAAAATGTTGATACATCAGCCTCGGATGCATGTCCCCCATTCTCTGCACACAGCTCTTTGTCTCGTGACACTAATCCTGTTTGTGGATATGTGTCTGCTAGCCAAAGGATTCTCCTAGTCTTTAGGGGACTACCCATCGACTCTATGGCCCGTATTTCCCATGAGCAACATTGGCTGAGTCAGATGCCCAATTCCAAAATTGTTTTAAAAATTGCCTTTTTTTTTGGCCAGCCACTGTGTTGCATTGGCTTGAGGAAGACCACGTGCATGGGGGCATAAAGCTCCCGGGACGTTTCCATAACAAGGAAGTCCTGCAGCTGTGTGACCCCTGCTGGACTTGGGGTCTTTGGGCCATGTGTCTGCATGCTTCCTCAGGGCCCCAGGGAGTAACCAGTACCCGCCTGGCTTGCTCGTGTGCCTTCCACTGGAAGGTGCCAGGTCGGGGACAGACACTAGTCTGAACCGAATCAGATCTAACCAGAAAGGACCTTGACACTGTTCACATCTGCCCAGGGAGAGGGGCGTAGTTATATGCTATTGGCCAGAAGAGGGTTAGGGCTGGGTTTAGGGCTTAGAGTTAGGGTTTAGGGTTATGGGTTAGGTTGGGAGCACTCAGCCCAGGGCTCCTACCCCAGGGGAAGATCCCTTGATCCAGCTAAGGAATGAATTTGATACCAGTCCCCTTGTTGGGAACAAAGAGGTTAAATAAAACAAGCTGTGAAGCTCTTGACCAGCCAAGCAGCTGAAGTCCATGACTGAGGCTTGGGCCTCAGGTGTTTGTCAGACCGCTGGCCCATCCTGCACGTCAGCCATGGCGGGGAGGGAAAACAGAGCATGAGAGAAATGAGGATTAATTTAGCCGAAGAGAAAGCCCAGCTGCGCTGGCACGGGAACAATACTGGGGGGTTGGCTATTTTCTACATCACCCTTTATGGAATGTAATTGTCAGTGCCTCAAACATGAGGAATATTCTTGGGGTGATACAGGATGTTCCTGTTGTATTTTTATACCTGTTTCATTTAGCCTGGAAATAAATGACTTCATCATTTTAAACCTTTACTTCAAATTATTGTGATCCTTATCTATGTCATAAAACTACTGATGACTTGCACCTCTAAATACTAGGGGTACATTCTCATCTCTCTCAAAAGGAATGCACCAGTCTCTGAAAGGTTGCACTTTGGAAAGCACACCAGGCCTCTCTGTTCTTCCAGATGGGGTGAAGGAGGAAGTCAGTGCCACATGCAGGGCAGCCGGCTGCCTCCGGGGAGGGGTGCAGGGGAGGGTGGCTGTGAAGTGGGCAGAGTGAGGGGCACCAGCAGGGCCCTCACAGCCCCATGGTCAGGGTAGGACAGGGACACAGACAGCTGGGACAGGCCATTGCCCTGTCAAGGTCAGACGATGTCACCCCCTCTGATCCATAAGGAAACTGGGGTGCAGAAATGTTTTTTGGCCCAGGAGGGAGGGCCAAGAGGAGGTCTGAGTGGTCTCCCCCAGTTCAGAAAGGGAGGGAAGAACTTGAGCAAAACCAGATCCGGAGTTGGCTCCCCTAGGCTGGAGACCTGATAGTCTTCTGTGATGTGCTCCCCACTTTGCCACTGATCAGAGGGGCCTGATCAGGGGTCTCCACTCCAGGACTTGCCAGACTTGCCCACTTGGCTTCCTAGACCACATGGGCAATGGGGAGGAGTAGCTGGAGGGGTGCCAGTCCCCTCCCCCTCTGCAGCTGGCAGAGCTGAGCCCTGCTGAGCTGTCTCCCACTCTTCCTCCCAGCCTCACCCCTGCCCTTGAAGGTCTCTTACATACATGCTTCGGCTTTCCTGGTCCAATTCCACGCTGCCTTTGCTGTGTGTGTGTGTTCCAGTTTTATTGACAAGAATCACTGTGTAAGTTTAGATGTACAGCAGGCAGGCATGATTTACGACATATACTGTGAGATGATGACCACAGCAGGTTCAGCAACATCCATCTTCTTGTATAGTTACCACACCTTTGCGCTTTTTGCAATGCAGATTCTCCTTTTTGCTTCAGAGGTATTTCTGGTTTTGCACTTACTCTTACTTGGCCCACTGTGAAACATGTGCATTTTGGAGGTAAAGGGAGGTCATTGTGTGCGCCAGCCAGCCATAGCCCTCCTTGCTCCCATGAGGCACTTGTGCCTCATGGCACTGTTAAATTGAGGGCGCTGTTAAATTGCAGCAGGCTGCAAGTGCATTTGGCCTGAGCTGGGCCAGGTAGGACAAAGGCGCTGGGAAGTGGGTGACCTTGGGCTGTATCCTTATACTTCTGAGCCACTGTTCCACACCTGCAGGACAGGATGATGCTTTGCAGGGATGTATTGAGGATCATGCGAGGTTGTAACTGGAAAAGCTCCCTGTAAATGAATTAAATGTAATGGGGTCTTATCTTGGTTGAGATGCTACCCCCCCCCAGGGCCGCTTTATTGAGTGGACATGTTCTTAAGCGGGTGATAAGGGATGAATGTCCTAAACAGCGTTTTCTCCTTCCCTCTGCTTCTCCCCGTCCTCCACTCCCTCTTCTCAAAGACTGGCCGGTGCCACCACTCTTCAAATACTAGGAATCGTAGCAACTGAAAAAGGCCATGGAAGATGCTTGTAGTCAAATGAAGCAGAGAAGAAGGAGCCAGTGGCTTCCCTGTTTCTTCATTAAGCAGTTGGCCACGCCAGCTATCCTGTGTAAATTCATATTGACTTGGCCTGGGAAGCAAAATTACTTTTTAACTTTTGCAAGAGGAAATTTTATTCTGCTTATTCAGCATGATATAGCAATTAAAAGGTTGGTTTTCCTCCTCTTTGAGAGTAACCTCTGAATAATTTATGGCTTCACCCACCGGTGGCTGCAAGGTTTTCCTGAAATAAAATGATTTTCATTAAGGCTGGGTATGGAACTCGGGCTGCTTTTGAGACTCTGGTCCCCCTGTCCTCCTGGCTTCCTGTCATGCCAGCACCGCCTTCCAGGCAGCACCGCCTCCTCTAAGACCAGTTTGTTGTCCGTGGCCCCAAAATCACCTGCCACCCTTCCAGAAAATGGTTGGCAAAGTTGAACTTGGTGGACATTTTGCTGTCTGGGCCTCAATTTCTTCTGTAATCTAAGGTCCATTAGAGTATTTGAGAGCTCTCAGGCTGGCCATGATGAACTTCTGTTGATAATGTCTCAATAAAAGCCACCAAGGAAGTTTGGGGCACCTTGCTAGGAACCAGTACCACCCTGGGTGAATCCTGTGTATTTCTCCCATTCATTCTACCCACATAACAGTATTTGCAAAGCAGGTGTTGCTACACCCATTTTACAGATGATGTTTGATACTGTGCAGTTAAGTAAATATACATTCAACTCCCAAATCTGTCCATCTGAATGCAAAACCTGGGCTGTCTTGTGTACAATGTCAGTCTTGATTTTGTTTTTTCAGAGAATGCCTAAATCACAGTGATAGAAGAAGAAGTGGGGTAGAACTCTGGAGACTGTCCACCACTTTTTTTAGGAATCACTAACAAAATGCAATAGGAATAAAGCTTGTCTCCTGCAAATCTCTACATACTGTTAGCCTAGCTTAAGTCACTACATGGAACTGAAAGTCATGTCTCATAGATGTGTTTCTTACATATGTGTGTGTTGCTATATATTTCAAAAGATTGCATTAGTCAAAAACAGAAGCTTTTAGGGCCTCCCCTGGTGGCGCAGCGGTTGAGTGCTGGGCTGCGAAGCTGCCCACAGCCTCTGCAGCGCTGGTTCAATCCTGGCTGCCAGTGAGGGTCCCACATGGTGCGACAGACGTCTCCTGCCGCGCCCGCTGCTCCCCTCAGCAGTGTGCTTCATCTGAAGGTCTGCCTGTTCTGCTACCCGCTCTGGCTCTGGCTCTGGCTCTGGTGAATTCTCTCACCCTCCCGTGCTTCTGACTGTACCCAGTGCTTGTATAAATAAATAAATAAATCTTTAAAAAAAAAAAAAGGAAGTTTTTATTATGTTGGTGAAATTACTTAAAATTGCCCAATCAGATTCATTCACTAATAACTTTAAAACTATCACATAGACTGTGCCTAATAAAAATTGCAATCTCACCTGATGGAATTTTCCAGACCCCAAGAGATGAAAGCATTTCGATACACAAAGTCACCTTAACTTAAAACAACACAAAAGCCAGAAAGCCACAGCCAAGCCTTGTGTTCAGACTTCGGTGTGACTCTGTGTCTTGTCCCCTCCCTCCTGTGACCCTTTCTCTTTGGATCAATATTTCTGAATTGCAGGGTCTGTAAGTACATGGCGCGCAGTGTGGCGAGAGGCCCCGGCGGTGAGCTGGCAAGCGAGACACCGCGGGAAGCGGCGAGGGACCACGCTTCTGTGTGGGGGGAGGTCGGACACCACGGGGGAGGGAGGGGGCAGAGGTTGTGCTGCTCTGGAAAAGGTGGTGCTTGCGCGGACTGGAGGGGGCAGCCCTGTGCGGGACTGGGCGTGTGAGGGTCCAGTAAACACGTGGTCTTTGTTTTTAGGGCCAACCCGAAAGATGCCCCCCAGCGCCAGCGCCATGGATTTCTTCCAGCTCTTTGTCCCGGACAACGTCCTCAAGAACATGGTGGTGCAGACAAACATGTACGCCAAGAAGTTCCAGGAGCGCTTCGGCAGCGACGGCGCCTGGGTGGAGGTGACGCTCACGGAGATGAAGGCGTTCCTGGGGTACATGATCTCCACCAGCATTTCCCACTGCGAGTCTGTCCTCAGCATCTGGAGCAGCGGCTTCTACAGCAACAGGAGCCTCGCCCTGGTCATGAGCCAGGCCCGCTTCGAGAAGATCCTCAAGTACTTCCACGTCGTGGCCTTCCGCTCCAGCCAGACCACGCACGGCCTCTACAAGGTCCAGCCCTTCCTCGACTCCCTGCAGAACGGCTTTGACTCCGCGTTCAGGCCTTCCCAAACCCAGGTGCGGCCAAGTGCAGGGCACGAGCCCAGAACCGACCCCACCTGCCCGCTTTGCCCACCTATGGCAGCGGAAGACCCCGGGGCGGCCCAGAGGCACCCTTGAGCCTCCCCCCATTCCTGTCTTGCTCTGAGGTCACGCCCAGGTATCCCCTCTCTCCCATTCCACTCGCTCATCTAATCCTGTTAGATCAGAGGGAAACAATAGATGATTCTCCAAGCCCCTGAGCAGTCAGGATTTGTATTTTGTTCTGAAGTGCCATTTGCATCTTCTTTTCTCCTTATCTTCCCTCCCCTGTAATTGCACATTTCCCCCAAATTATGTTTTGCTCTAATATTCATTTTCTTGTCATAGCTTCTGAGTGTGTATTCATCTGTTGGTGGTGACAAGCCTTCTGGGTGGCAAAGGGAGGGAACCAAAATCTCTCACAGGTAACCAGGAGTTATTACCCGGGTTTCAGTCCCTAGGCTCTCACAGATGGCGTGGGGCTGGCACAGGTGCCATGGAGCAAACATGAGCACTGTCATGGCTGCAGGGGTCTACCACCTGACGGAGCATGAGCCTCTGGGTGAGAGAGTGTTAGAACCCCAGATATAACAGCTGCGTGCCCCCACACCTTCCCCCTCTGGAATAGGTCTGGAAGGTCTGAGCTGTCTGCTCTCGGCTCCTGAGCCCCTGCCTTCCGGCTCTGATATGGGACACATTTGGCTGTAGCGAGATGCAGTTTCAGAATCGTTCTCCAAATTGCTCAACTGAGCTAATAAACCGAGGAGATGGCTAATTTCTAGTGATTTCTCCAACCAAAATTTCAGGCAGTTCTTGGCCATTGTGAACTCATTTCCTTTGATTGTTATCATTCTATATGGAGACAGAAATTTACTTCACTTTTATTTATACATTTAAAGACCCACCAACCTGCTGACTTTTGTGCTTTCCCTTGAAGGGCCTTAATCAGCCCTCAAATGCTTCCTGTTCTTCAGTCTGTATCTTTCCCCTGCTCCGTAACTTGCCTTCTTTATGTCCTAAAAACTAAATGGCATTTGTGGGGAAGATGGTGCCCTTTTTCAGGTCTATGGGAGCACTGAAGTTTCTCCTGCTGCTCTCCGAATGCACATCGTGACTCCCAGGTATTTGCAGTGCTCTCTCTGGCTCCCCAAAGCTTTTCCCTCCTTGCAGTTGCCCAGTCTCCAGCACTCCTGCATCGACTCTGTTTTGCTCGACTCCCTTGCTACTGACAGGGTGGCCCAGTGCCTTTTGCCTTGTCTCCCTCTGTGTCACTGACCTTCCTTCCAGGTGGTGGGGTCTTTGGGGGGCATGGTCTCTGTCTTACTGGTCCAGTAGAACCAACACAGGGCTGGGCACATTTGTTTTTTGTCCCTGAATATTTGCTTGATGAAAATGGAACCCAACCAGAAACGTGTTGGCTGACTGCCAGGGGGAGAAAAGATTCTGACCTTCTGAAGGGCTGCTGGAGAGGGCTGTGGCTTGCTGTGCCTGAGTATCTCTGAGGAATCAACCAGCCACCTTGAGGGTGAATGATATTTAACAGCCTAAAGGCAAGATTGCTGAGCATCCTGCCAGCCCCTGACAAGGCAGCCTCAGCCATGACTGTGTTCATGTTTGTTGCATGGCACGTGTGCCAGCCCTATGCCATCTGTGAGAGCCCACAGTCCAAAATCCAGGAGGTCCCCGAGGCTGGGATAGTGCGCAGGCCCCCTGCAGTGCCCACTAGCTAGCTCTGAGACCTGTAGCCATGCCCATGCCAGCCCCAGGACTTCCTGAGTGAGCTGGCTCTGTGGGTGGGCCGGTATCCCAGGAAGCAGCTCTGCCCCACTCTGCTGCCTGGCTCGGATGGGCAGCTGTAGGGTAAGGGTGAGGGCCAAGGAGAACCTGGAGAGATGACCACGTTATTCTTTCAGTTCACGTCTCACCTTTGCTGGCATTTGAGAAGGCTGAGAGAAGGGGTCTGAGTTAAGGTTCAGTTAGGGGAAGGCCCTCTGGTCATGGTGAGGGTCCCTTTTTTTTCCACTTTATATTTAACCTTTTTTACCTTTGTATTGGCAAAGCTCTGTTTTCTTTTTGTTACCATTTTCTACCCAGTGGGGTAGGTCTACAGGGCAGGTCAGAATCCAGCAGGAAACAGTAGTGACGCCTGCAAAGGCAGTCGAGGAGAAGTGGATGCAGAGGCTGTGGGTGGGTGTGATCAGGGGGCAGACCAGGTGGTGAAACACCCATGGTCATGACCATGGATGCCAAGGATGGGGAGCAAGTCTAGCCCAGTGAAGGCCACAGCCTGGGGGCAGGCTGGAGGCAGTGGGCAGGCAGGGAGTGGCTCTTGGGTCTTTCTCAGCTTCCCAGCTAGCCAAGCAAACTAGTCACCAGGGGAAGGGACCTGGGCTGTGGCTTATAGAAGGCCACAGCACAGGGTAGGTAGGATGAAAAGTGTGTCTGGGGCAACAGACAGGAGCCCATTTTCCAGTTAGATGGCATTTGCTGTTCCTTCTTCCTCCCGACTCTGGGTTCTATTGAGTCATCTCTGTGTCAGCCAGGGATGACTCATTACCTGCAACACATGAGTGCTTCTTAACGTGATTAGGCTTCCCTGGTAGCTCGAGGTTCCTATTGGGCTCTTCCTTCGTGGATAAGCAGCTCAGCCCTGTCTGCGCCAGCCCTCGCCTTTCACCGTGGGGGGCTTCAACTTCCCCTGGGTGGTGCATTTTCCCATTGTCCTCTGCTCGGGTCACATTACACTTGATTTCTGCCTTTTTTTTTCCTCTTAGAATAGGAGAGGGTTCTATATTGTCATCTCTGATTAGAGTAGCTGAAAACCCTAACGGTTTCCTGGTTTACCTCCAACCACCCTCTGAAATTCCCAGTTTGGATCCTGGGACATTCCGTTCAAGGACAGGGGATGGAGCAGTGGGCTTGGCAGCACACTGCTGTCTGCCTCCCCAGCTCCACAGGGCTCCATGGAAGGGTCTTCACTTTTGCCTGCGGAGACCACTCGGAACAATCTCCCTCCAGGTCTTCATGAAATATCAAGGTCTATTTGGAGTCATTCTAGCAAAATGGCCAACTCTCCCGCACGGTGGGGACATGGGGCAGAGGGGAAGGGGCATGTGGATGCATTTGCTCAGACTTCCCCAGAATTGCGCTGCCTCTGCCCCGTTACATATAATCCACTCAGCACACAGCGCGCCTGCCTGGCAGACTCACATGTGCCCTCTGCCCTGCAAGCTCCAGAGCATTTTTATTCCAGCACATGTAACCTTTGGGTATGAGTTTAGAACTTTTGCAGTTGTCCCAAGACTGCCTGGATGGAGTGTGTGTGCGTGTGTGTGCATGTGTGTGTTGTGTGTCCTCACAAACTCAAAATGGGAAGGTACTTCATTTCCTCAAAACTTGGGGCTCTTTCCTTACATGAATTTTGGGGGGAAAGGATTATGCAGGTAAATAAATGGATGCTCTGTATTTCCATTGCCACGGCCCAGAGGAATTTGTACAGAAGGGGAGTGGGAAATACAACGGAGAGCAGACAGCTGGCCCGTCTGCCACCTGGAGGAGAAGGCCATGGGTTTCTGGCATATGTGTCTGCAGAGCCATGGGGACATGGGGAGAACTACCCTGGGCCTCATGGAGAACTGACCCTTTGAGAATTCATGTCATGATGATAGCAAAGAAGAAGGCATATGATTAAATCTTTGGAGGCATATGATTAAATCTAAATTTGCAACTGATTATATGTTTAATGCAAGTGGCATAGATATAGGTTGGGTTTCTGGAGATGAGCGTGAGGGCAGCTCCAGTTCTGTGGCCTCGGAGTGGAACACGCTCCTTAAATAAGGACCGCTGGCTGGGCAGCAGGCAAGCAGCACACCTTTTCTTCAGGCCACATGCCCCTTCCCCTCTGCCCCATGTCCCCACCGTGCGGGAGAGTTGGCCATTTTGCTAGAATGACTCCAAATAGACCTTGATATTTCATGAAGACCTGGAGCCACTGAATAAGAGAAGCAAGCACAAGAGCCTGGGAGGTGATGAGGGGTTGGGGGACATGGGCCAGCAGATCTCTAGCCCTCCCTTGATGAGCACAAGATGGGGGAGAGAAAACCAGGGGGCTGTTATGCACAGCTAAGACCACACACAAGGCTGCTGTTGTAAATGAAGGTTTTACGGGAACCTGAGTTCATGACAACATGAATGAAGAATATGTCCAAATCACAAGTGGGAAGAATTATCCTCCATTCTGCCCTGGTCAGATCACATTCTGACATTGCTTGGGAGCTTGTTTGACATGCAGAAACAGTCACCCTCCGCCACCGCCAAACCTACTGAATCAGAATCCACATTTGGTAAGACCCCCAGATGACTGGTTTGTTCATGAAAGGTTGAAAAGCACCAGTGGGGAGCAGGGGCTTGTGTACGTTTTGTGCCAGTGGCAAGGCAGTGAGTCTCTTAGAGGCTGTGCATGGGTCATAGGGCCTCTGGAGCAGCTGGTCCCTTCTGCTGCTGCAGCCAGGATGCAGTCACAGGTGACACCTAACTGACTACGTAATAGCAGGTTCCCGTAAAACCTTCCTTTACAACGGGAGTTTGGGTCTAAAAGGCACAGGCTGCTGCCCCCAGGCCTGCAGATTGTGTAGTCTTCTTGGAACTATAATTCCCCTACACGCTTCATTTCCATGGACTAGACACTCTTCCTACACGCGAAATAGGATTGGAGAGGGAAGTAAAGCAGATTCTTAAAATTTACCCAAAAATCTCTGCCCAGAAGCTTCAACTTGCAGAAGGAAACCTTTGAGCACCACGGGGAACCTATTTTTTTTTTATGCCATCTTTTTTATTGTCTTTGAAAAAGTCTTAGCACTGTGGTATCAAGAAGTTAAAATAGGGCCTCCCCAGTGGCGTCAGCGGTTGAGTGCTGGGTTGCGAAGCTGCCTGCAGCCTCTGCAGCGCCGGTTCGATCCCTGGCTGCTCCCCGGCCACCGGAGGAGGGTCCCACATGGCACGTAGACCTTTCCTGCTGCCCGCTGCTCCCCTCAGCAGTGTACTTCAGTCCTTCTGCCTGCTCTGCTCCCCGCTCTGGCTCTAGTGAATTCTCTCACCCTCCCGCACTTCTGACTGTACCCAGTGCTTGTATAAATAAATAAATAAATCTTTAAAAAAAAAAAAGAAGTTGAAATAGGTGAAATAAGTTTAAAAATTGCTTTGGGAATCCCATGTCAGAAAGGATAGGACAGCCTGGGGCTGGTGGCAGCTACAAGGCAACAAGGGAACTGAGTCACTTCACCGTAGTGTTTACAAAGAGAGTGTCCAGCCTGGGAAAAGAGGGTGGTGGGCCCACATGGGAGCGTGATCTTGAATGCAGGAAAGAATATGTGTGTTTCTGTTTCCCACAGGGCTGAGGTCAGATCAGTAGGTTTAGGTTAAATGCAGGCAAAGTTTGAGGCAGTGAGAGAAAGACTTATGAGTAGTTGGAGCTTCCTTTGAAAAGAAGAGGCGCCCACCCCCAGGCAGGTCTTGCTGGAGTCAGGGCCCCTGCAAGCAATCCCAATACCAAGGGGGAGCTTGAACTGATACTAATTAGTTGTTATTATTCCCGTTTGCTAAATACTTGTAATATGGTAGGGCCTGTGGCAAGTGTCTTGTGCACAATTTCTTTCTCTTCCCCAAAATGCTGGTGTCAGTATCGTTCCCCTTTTAGAGATGAGGAGACTCAGGGTCAGAGAGGGAGAAAATGACAACTGGTCAAAGGCAGAGACTGGATTTGAGCCCAAACCTGATGACCCTCCGAGCTCATGCCATCTTCCTTGAGAATCCCTGCTTTTTCCTTCCTGGCAGGTGCTACATGAACCCCTGATTGACGAGGACCCCGTGTTCATTGCCACGTGCACGGAGCGGGAACTTCGAAAGAGGAAAAAGCGGAAATTCAGCCTCTGGGTCAGGCAGTGTTCTTCCACTGGCTTCATCATCCAGGTGGGCCCCAGAGGCCAGGGGAAGATGATCGAGGGGTCTCGGCTGTATGGGTAACCTATGAGCTTGCTTGTTCACCCCTTCACTGCGCCCCACCAAAATGCTCCAGCTGCAGTTGGGCTACTTCCCGTCTCACTGGGATGGGGGCATCTGGCACCATCCCTGCATGTTCTTCCTGCCCCTCCAGCTCTTTGGCTTAGATAGCAGCAGTAAGGCCTCATCGAAGCCCAGGCTCTCATGGTGGCAACTGGGACTGCACCCCAGCAGTGGGTCCCAGAGGGGACTGTCTGCTGTCTTGAGAGCCTGCTATGTGGCATCCCCAGAAACCCCCCTGCCAGGTGTCTGTCCAGCATTCCAGACCCAAGGACGCCTGCCTCACAGGCTGCCCAGGCACTGGCTGACTTGGCCTTCATCAGGAGGCATGGCCTCGGAGCCAGTGTCCCTGCTCGCTATCCCTGCCCTGCTCTGCTCCAAGCCACCTCAGGTGCCCATTTAGAAGAGGCTGCTGAGCTCAGCTGTGGGGATAATGCTGGATGTTGAGCTGCCAGGAGCAGCCGGGGCACAGAGAGCACCAGAAGGGCAGGCTGGCATGCACAGAACGTGGCACCTGAAAAGCCGCTGCTGCCCTGGGCTGTGCTTTCCTGTTGTACCGCTCAGGACGCCCTTTCCCATCGGTCAGGCTGGCCAGCCCTGGGGTCACAGTTGACCCCACCTTGCTGAGCCTACTTGACTGTAGCCCAAGCACAGGGCTTTTGCATTCATTTCCTGCCATCCTCTCCCTGCACCCCCAGTCACTCCCCTACCCCTCTGCCTTGCCCGAGTGAGAGGATCCCTAAGCAGGAGCAGCCCAGAGCCACAGCAGGGGAGCACAGGGCCTCCAGGTAAATGTCTGCTTGGAAGCCCCAGCCTGCCCTCTGCCCTCAGGCCCAGGTGGTTCTGGTTGGGCTGGGCCCGAGTCTGCTGTGCACAGGTGAATCAGGGCCTCCCAGCAACAAGCAATTCTCAGACACCAGCAGGGTGTTTCAGACACAAACACAGTTCTGTTCAATTCTGACACTTTCTACCTGGAATATACCATCAGATTTTGAAAGTTAAGAGCTTAATCTCCCAGACTTAATCTCCTTAGACTTCAGGTGCCTGTCACAAGCTATTACCTGTGCTGCTGACCAACACCTGTGTAATCAGATGTTGGTCAGGGCTCCTCCTCAGGTTCAAATAATTTGCTAGAGCAGCTCACAGATCTCAGGAAACCCACTTACTCTCTAGATCACTGACTGACTCCAAAGAGTCTAGCTTGGCACAGTGGGATGGAAGAATGTGCACAGATCACAGCTTCGAGAGAGGGTGCATCACCCCTGCCCTCTCCAGCCCACCACGCTCCACCAGTCTCCCTGTACCTACCAGCCCAGAAGCCCTCTGACACCCCTCTCTTTGGGTTTTTAATAGAGGCTTAATTAGTCATAAACCTGATTAATTACATCAGTCACTGGCAATCAAATTCAACCTCCAATCCCTCTTTCCTCTCTGGAGATTTGGGGTGGGACTGGAAGTTCCAATACCCTAATCACATAGTGGCTTTCCCTGGAAGCCAGCCTCAGTTCTTACCTGCACCCCAAAGGGAGACCTCACTGCTTTGAAGCCCAAGTTACCTGATAATCTGCATAAGCTGGCTTCCAGAAGATTTGCTTTATTGCTGGAAGTGAGTTTCTAAGCCTCCAACTCACCCAGTGCCTGAGCTGAAAAGGCATTTATGAGAACACTGTTGGCCAGAACTCTTTCGAAAGATGTGATTCTCTCTAGGTTGTTAGTAGATCCAGGAGAGGATGAGAGTTCTCCCTAGACACTGGGACCCTCTGCTGTTAGGATTGAGTGGGGCAGGCATGGCTGGAGGAGTTGTGCAGAGATGGCTCGTGTGCCTTTTTTTAAAAAAGATTTATTTATTTATGCATACAAGAACTGGGGTATAAAGCAGAGGTGGAGGGGATGAGAGGATTCACCAGAGAAGAGTGGGGAGCAGAACAGGCAGATCCACTGAAATACACCGCTGAGGGAAGCAGTGGGTGAGACAGGAGAGGTCTGCTGCACCATGTGGGTAGCTCCCTGGCCAGCCAGGGATCGAACTTGTGCTGCAGTGGCTGGTGATAGCTTGAAGCACTGTCTTTAACCCCTGTGCCACCAGGGAGGTCCTGTGCACCTTTCATCTGCTCTTCAGTCAGGGGCCACAGCCGCCTCGAGAGAAGGTGTTGTGCCACTGACCGTGGGTGTATGGTTCTGTCATATGCTCTGCTGCTGATGTGTGACCTCTGGAGCCCGGGTCCCCTGTCACCCCTCTTGCTTTTCCCCAGGAAGCATCATTGGTGGTTTGCATGTTCAGCCCCGTTCCCAGCACTCATGTCCTGAAGGATAGTCAGGGCAGCCTCCCTGCCCCCAGGTGTCAGTTGTGATCCCCTGGCACTGACAGGCACTGTGCCTGTCCTCCCTAAAGGAGGACAGTAGGTAACACCCACAGGACTCCTTCATGGCTCAGTCATCTGACGACCATGTTCCTCTTTAACCCACTCCCTTGACATGTTCACTGGACAAAATGTAAATGTTGCTTAGTGATTCCAGCATGTCGTCTTTGCTGGCCCCTGGGCCGCAGGTGAGTTTCAGTCCCTGATGCTGTCTCCTCCCTTGCAATAAGAGGTACATGTTACCTCTTCTGCCTGCCTGGTGGTTGCTGTAAAGAATAAGAGGAACAGGGCTTCCCTGGTGGTGCAAAGCACAGCACTGTGGAGCTATCTGCAGCCTCTGCAATACAAATTCAATCCCTGGGAGTCCAGAGAGCTACCTACATGGCGCAGCAGACCTCTCCTGACTCGCCTGCTGTTCCCTTCAGCAGTGGATTTCGGTCAGTCTGACTGTTCTGCACCCCACACTGTCTCTGGTGTGTCCTCTCACCCTCTCTGCACTTCTGGTCTGTGCCCCAGTTCTTGTATGCGTAAAGAAATCTTTTTTTTAAAAAAAAAGCATAAGGGAAACAATAATTGTGGACACATTTTGTGAATTAAAATTAGCTGTATTAAAGTGGACGGTGCCCAGATAAGTGTATCCCTTACCAGCGAGCTAGTCTTTATTTTTATTTCATGTCCACTGAAGTCACTTCCAGGCTTCAGAACTGGTGGGGAGGGTATTTTCATTGACCTCAGCTGCCAGTTCATTGCATGTAATTGTCCGCTCTCTTCCTTCTCTGGCTTTTCCACACTGGAGAGTTGAACTGAGTCACCAGCTGCCTAGGTTGCAGGTGGCCTTGGGAGAGACCCGAGCCCTCTCAGGGATGAGGAGAGGACAGGGTGGTGGTGGCTGAGTGGCCCCAGGAATGGGCGACTTGCCTGCAAGTCCCTAGCCCAGGACAGCCACCTGTGCTTCCTGAAACTCTGGGCCCTGCTGATACTGCTGTGAGTGCCCTGACCCCTGTGTGTTTCTGTTAAAGATCTACGTCCACCTGAAGGAAGGTGGGGACCCCGACGGGCTGGACGCACTGAAGAACAAGCCCCAGCTCCACAGCATGGTGGCGCGGAGCCTGTGCCGGAACGCAGCGGGCAAGAACTACATCATCTTCACCGGGCCCAGCATCACCAGCCTGACCCTGTTTGAAGAGTTTGAGAAGCAAGGTTTGTCAAGGCTGTTCTGAGCGTGGCCCTCTCCTCCCTGAAGATGGGGTGGGAGAGGCCTGTGGGTGCAGCACAGAACATGGCTCGCCTGGTGAGGGGGCTCTTCCCCTAGGGAACAGGCCCATCTCATCCTGTGCTGTGCCTGGGGTACCCCTGACCCTGCAGGCGCTGGAGAGCTGAGGGACACCAGTCACAGGCCGCGGTCTGGTTGCAGAGCTCTGCATCCTTTGTTTTGAGGTCACGGCCACTGAGGAGATCCAGTGTTTTAGTCTGCTTCAGCTGCCAGAGAAAATACCACAGACTGGGTAACTTGTAAACAACAGAAATTTGCTTCTCACTTCTGGAAGCTGGGTGCCTGAGCCCTCCTCCAAGCCCTCTCCCTCACCATGTCCTCCCAGGAAGGGAGGGGCAAGGGAACTCTGTGGGGTCTCGTACAGAAGGGCCTAAACCCCTTCATGAGGAACCAATGCTCCTGACCTAAGCACCTCCAAAATATTCTACCTCTTAATACTGTCACTTGGGACATTAGGTTTTCAACATGGGGATTTGGGGTGGGGGACATAGACATTCAATCTGTCGCACCAAGGTACAATTCCCGAAGCTCTAAGGATGTCTCCTGAACTCGCCCCCCACCCACAGTGGGGCCCCTTCCAGTAGACACTGCAGAGAATTGTATACAAGCAGCAATAGCACGGACCTCAAAAAGGCCTTGTTCCCGCATGCTTAGATCTTGTCTCATTTTTGCCAAGACTGGACCAGCCTTCCAGGTGCTGGCAGACACGGGGGCTACAGAAAAAGATCTGGTCCAGGTCAGCAGTGGCCTTCACTTGGCACCACCTTTGGGGATTTATAGCTGGTCCACTCAAGAGAAACACAAAACGCTCCCCCTCAGCGATGGCAGCCACACGGACTGCAGACCTGTTGCTCAGCAACAGGCCAGATGTCTGGCCTTAAAATGAAACCTTCTCAAAGTAACGGGGAGCGCACAGCTTCTGACCTGTGATCTCCACGCTGTGATGAGTTGGCAGCTCCAGACTCCATGCTCCTGCTGGCCTGGACTATCTCATTCAGTCCAGACGGGCTCAATATCCCATTGTTGTGAGAATTCAGTGAGACTGCGTGAAGTGGGCCTGTGGAAGCCAGTCGGAGGAAATGGCCCTCATGCGTGTCACCAGCCACACTGGGAGGGCGGCAGCTTCCTATGTTAGGCACGGGACGAGAGCCAGCCCGCCCCTCCACTCGCTGCTCGTGCAAGTCCAAGTGTGGGCGCCGTGTGTATGGTGTAAAACCCCTGAGGTTCCAAGGTCTGCTCCCTGCCCCGTGTGCTCGAATCACCAGGATCCAGAGTCAGGTAGTGAAGTCCAGGGAGTGTGTTGTTTTGGGGGCAGGGGGGTGCAGAGTGCAGATGCCAAAAAACAACTACAGGTCACAGTGTTACTTCCCCCAGGGCTGCACATGCTCAGATCCCAGGGGATAGGGGGCGCTCCCCGGCTCAGAGAATTAGGGAGAGGCTGGAAGAGATTTTTCGGGTGGGAGGAAAACACTTAGACATGGAATTTGAGTTTTTCCAAGAGTGGGCAAAGATTTCATTGCCTGTTTTATAGAATTATCTAAAGCTGCTGAGCCCTTCACACTGGCTGGGCCTCCAGCGTTCAGGATGGCTGGGCTCCACCGTGGCCATGGAGGTGTCTGCACCCACATCCTGGGACTCAGCTGTGTTGGTATCAAACATTGTGTGCTCTTTAGAGCCCCGAGAGAGCCTGAGGGCAGCCAGGGCTGGAGAAGTTGTAGTGAGGGCTGGAGAAGTTGTAGTGAGAATCTGGCTGTGTCCCCCTAGGGCGCAGAGACGTCTTTGTAAAATAGAGCCAGAAAAGACATTGATGTCATAATTGCTATTTTTAGCAAGGAACAGATTCAGGAAAACCTGAATGATGCTTAGATTTTCCTCGAACCCTTCCACAGGGCTGCAGCTGCCCTTGGCTGCTTGGGTGCGCCGAGCCCGGGAGGTGAGAGCACACCCTCATCTCCATTCTGCTAATCCCCGTCCCTGTTCTGAAAACAGATTCTTCATCGAAACCATAAGACTGGGGTGGTTGGTAGGGTCTGAGCAGCTGGGAGCCCTCTTCTTTTTGGCAACAAGCCTGGAAGATACTATCCAGAGGGTCTTACTTCAAGCCCACTGCTGCTCATAGGGTGCCGGGGACGGGTTAGCTCAGGAGTGAGGAATTGTCCTTCCGGGGGGCACCGGGGTCGTAAAGAGGGAGGTGTATGCAGGGGATACAGAATGTCCCTGGTTGCTGACCATGCTGTGTCAGTCTTCCACTTTCTGAGAGCAAACAGAGGAGGAGACGAGTCCCCGTTCCCAGGGTTTTCAGTCAGAAGTGCCACTTCAGCTCACCTCCAGGTATCCAGACTGAGGAGACGGGCTGCAGGGAGAGGCAGCCTCATGGCCCCTGTGGCCGCCTGCCCGGCCAAGCAGGGCAGATCCATGAGGAAGGAAGACTGGGCAAGGCCTTGAGCCCAGGGTAGAATCTAGTGAAGGCTCCTCATTCCTGATAGCAGCACCTGAAGACCATCCTTCCCGCCCCCTCCACCACATGGAATCTTCCAGCATTGGAGGCCACACTCAAGCTCCTCCTCGCTCAGGAAGCTCCTGCACTCGCTCACATGGCACTTTGTGTCCACAGGAAGGACAGTGGCTTAATGCATATTTTTTGATGATTCTTTCCTCTACATTGGACTTAGCTCTCCCAGGGGAAGGTACTCATCCGACATGGCTGCCTCTGGGTGCTGTGCCGACCGCCATGTGCTGGGCCTGCACTGGTTGAGGTCTGGGGACAATTATGGTCGTTTGGACATCAGACAGACCTGTGTGTACTGACCTTTGCCTTCCCAGCCGTGAGCCAGGGGGCTCCAGGGAGCTGCGGTTCCTCCTCTGTAATGTGCGTACAGTAACCCACTAAATGCAGAAGTTTCTAGAAGCATCTGGGATAGCAGGTACATGTGCTTAGCACTGTGCCGGGCACAAGTAAGCACTCTGACAATGAGCTCCTACTTTTACTATTGCTTCACTGGTTATGTTTCAGTTTTACTCATAATCCCAAGTATACTTATCAAAGTACTGAAAGAGACAGCAGATCTGGGATAAAGTCCCCAAACCTTAGAGTCTCTTCTAGAAGCCTTCTAAAGAGCCTGTTCTCATTGGCCTTAGAAGGGAACAATCCCATCCTTTCCTTGAGCACCCCAAGGAGTGAGCCGCTGGTGTCCTGATAATATATGTGCGCTTTGGGGCCCTTCTCCCCACCAGGGATTTACTGCTGCGGCCTCCTGAGCTCCAGGAAGAGTGACTGCACAGGCCTGCCGCTGTCCATGCTGACCAACCCGGCCACCCCCCCAGCGCGGGGCCAGCACCGGATCAAGATGAAGGGGAACATGTCTCTGATCTGCTGGTACAACAAAGGACACTTCCGCTTCCTGACCAATGCCTACTCGCCCGTACAGCAAGGTGGGGGCAGGTGGGCGCAGATGGGCGGGGTGGGCAGCAGAGGGGATCCTGATGAGCTTGAGCAAGACCATGGCGCGGGTCTGAAGTCCTCTGCCAATGTGGCGCCCTGGCGCCAGGCTCGTCTGTGACTCATCAGCTTCTGAGCCGTATTGTAACTGCTGCCTTGATAAGACCGTCTCCCTGTTAGTTGTCAGCTGTCAAGGGGAACCGTGATTGTGGGTTTTGCAGGGGACTTGAGCAGCCTGCCTTAGGTCCCCCAGATCATACATTAGCAGTGATAATGGACTGCATTTGAATGCCATGCCCATGATCACTTTTTCATCCTGGATTTTGTGAAAAACCTTTTGATTGGAGCAAAAACAAGCAACCCTCTTATCCTTTCACTGTCTTCTTTAGAAGGTAAACACTTGCTTTGCCTCTTTGTCTGGGTGGGAGGCGGATATACATTTGATTTCATCCTTCATTTTATGTAGGGATTTAAAATTCACTCTTCACAGGGATTTATTTGGCAGGGAGTCTATATTTAAAGTAACTACAGCTAAAACATTATTAAGCTCTTGAAAAGAAACTTGAAATGACAAAGGAGCACTTTATAAAAATATTTATAGTAATATAGTGTATTTGAAAAATCCCTTGTGTTCCTTTCTATCCGGACATCTTTCCTGTTAAAAGAACACTGCCAGGGAGCTCTAAAGTGTGTGTGTGTGTGTGTGTGTTCGTTTTGGGTTAGAGTTGTAGAAAGCTGCCACTCTCTGGTGGTGTCAAGTTCCCATTTGGAGGAAATACTTCAAACTGGCCTTGCAAGCTGAAGGCAAGAGTTTGAATTGGACTTCTGTACTCTGATGGTGGAAGCCAGGTAAGGGTATTTCAAGGGAGTATGTATGGAGGAGGTTTTAGGAGGTGTTTCCCCATCCAACTATTTTAGGTGATGGCCTCTGAAAAGGTGTTCCCAAGCAGGGCGTGCACTGTCTGAGCTGGGTGAGACAAGGTGATGAAAAGAAAAGGATGCATTGGGAGGTTAAAAAAAAGAATGTGAAAAGGTTCAAGATGACAAATCTTAAAGCCCCAGTCTCAATGGTTGGGCCTTAAATCAGACACCAAGAGACTAAGTAAAGAGGATAGTAATTGGGAAAAAAGAGAAGATTAGTAGGTATGATTTTTAAATATGCTGAAATTTTATGTTTAAGTTAGCTATAACTTCCGTTTCTAAAGTATTAGAAATCGGGGCCTCCCTGGTGGAACAAGGGGTTAAGCACATCACTATGAAGCTATCCAAAGCCTCTGCAACATGAGTTTGGGCCCCGGCCTGCCAAGGAGCTACCCACATGGCGCAGCAGACCTCTCCTGTCTCACCCGCTGCTCCCCTCAGCAGTGTATTTCAGTCAGTCTGCCTGTTCTGTTCCCTGCTCTGTCTCTGGTGAATCCTCTCATGTCCCACACCTCTGGCCTGTACCCCAGCTCTTAGATGCATAAATAAATAAATCTTAAAAAAAAAATAAAGTATTAGAAATTGTAAAGTCCCAAATTCTAGACTCCCTGAAAGACCCCCAGGAATCTGCTACAGCACTGCTGCAGACTGACCCCTACCTCCAGAACCCATGGTCCCTCCCACCGTGCCTGGGCACAGCTCTCCCATGGTGGAGAGGTGTGAGCACCTGGGAGCCTGGAGGTAAGAGGAGAGCAGGTGAACCCTGAGTGGTGCAGCTAGAGGGAGGGAGTCTCGGGGGAGTGGAGCTCCCAGGCTGGGAGTCAACTGTGTTCCCTCCTCCACGCCCCCAGAAGTGCTGTTCCCAGTCCACCTCTTAGAGTTACTGTTTTAATGAAGAAAGTTTTCCTTTCCTTCAGAAACATGAGTTTGCAAACCATCTCGTGTCCCATCCTTGTAGATATGTCATCATTTCTTTTTCTGTCCCCTGTTAATCATCATTTTTCCCACCAAATGAACAATGTTGTAGTGAATATGTTCATACATAAATCTCTGGCTGTGCCTCGGGCATTTCCTGAAGTGAAATTGTTGGGCCAAAGGGTATGTCATTGTTAAGGCTTTTGATGATGGCTCCCTTTTTGTCTCTCAAGGCCCAGTCAGCGCAGCCTTGAGAGACACTTAGAGCCTTGGGTGCCACTTAGAGCCACTGTGGCCCCATCATCGCCCCACAAGCCCTGTGATGCCCTATGCCTCGGGCACATGTTTCAGCTGACATAGAGCCCCGCATTCACCCACCCTTGATGGTTTTTTCTCAAGTCCTCCGGAAGCTTCCAGGGACAGGCGTTGGCTGGAGTTGTTCTCAGCTCGGCTCTATTTTAACTGAAGACGACCAGACAGGGTAGAGATAAGCACAGTTGTAAATCAGTGTGGGGAGGAGGTGGTTAGAAGGGGACTTACCGCCTCCCTCCTCTGCAGGCGTGATCATCAAGAGGAAGAATGTGGAGATTCCCTGCCCTTTGGCCGTGGAGGCGTTCGCTGCCCACCTTAGCTACATCTGCAAATATGACGACAAGTACAGCAAGTGAGTGCGTGGGGTGCGCAGCCACGGGAGTCCCAGGAGAGAGAACTTGGGGGTGGGGGTGGTCAGTCATGTCCCCCATCATTAGGATAAAAAAATGAAGACCCTGTGAGGTGTATTCCTTAGCCCTCATCCTGGCCCCCAGGCTTGACTATGCAGCCCCCTCCCCTCTTGGCACCCTGCCTCCTTCCCACCACTCTCCATCTCCCTTCCCGTGCCCAAAGATACCCTCTTTTCACCGGCTGCAGTCCTGCCAGCCCTCCAAGTTGGTCCAGACCCTGCGCGCTCTCCCTGCCTCCAGCTCCCACTGCCCTCCTCCTCCTCCACATCCCTGGACACTTGGCATCTGCCTTGACACTTTCACACTGAAACAGATGGTTTCCAGAACTGGCTACTCAAATTACCTCAAACCCAAATACCTGCGTCACGTGTGGGCTCATCTTAAGCGCACACAAGGCTCAGTTAGAAGGCACGCAGGTGCCCACACCACCACACCACAATGCCATGTCCTGTCCAAGCTTAACGCGGCCATGAGCAGACACTCAACAAATGGATGCCACTGAAAACAAATGCCCAATAAATTACAGATGACCTGTGCACCGGGCAGGGACTAAGGTGTCCAGCCCCCTGCAGTGTCAGAAACCTGCATGTAACTTTTGTCTCCCCAAAAGTTTAACTGCTAATAGCCGACCGTTGCCCGGGCGTCTTATTGACAGCAAATACTTGATTAACACCTATTTTGTATATATTCTATGTATTGTATATTCTTATAATCAAGTAGAGAAAAGAAAACATTATTAAGAAAATCATAAGAAAGAGAAAATACATCGACAGAACCAAACTCTTATGTTATCCAAGTTAGCCTCGCCTGTCTGTACAGCCCAAGTCCCAGTGGCTCTCCCAGTTCCAGCCCTGTCGTGGAGGGGCAGCTGGACGAGGACTGAGCCTCGCCATCTAGAATAGGGTTGGATTAACCCAAAAAAGCCACTGAGCATTTACACGCCCTCTTTGAGGGTGATTGGTATTTTCTGGACTTTGTCTTTGCAGAGGGAAAGCCAAGGACCTTATTCTCCCTTGTTCGGCCTGGGTGTGAAGGGATTCTCACTCCAATGAGTCTCTATTGAATACCTACTATGCGCTCAGGATCTTGCTGAGACTCATGGGGTTATTACCAGAAAATCTGTGTTTATTCAGTAGGCACACTGGGTGTGTGCCCTGAGCGGGGCATTTTGGTGCTGGTCCTTGAACACTTCGCAGTCAGGGGACGGAGGCAAACATGCAGATGGAGGACATAACACGGGATGAGTCCTAACTTGAGTTAGCCCCGGGGCAGCACTGTCCTCAATTTTGGGGTCTGGAGAGGCCTCCCTGAGGTGATGTCTGTCCTCCATCAGGCGGGAAGGTGGAGATGGCAAAGAGGTGCGCACTGGGGAGGAAGTGTGCGCTTTGCAGAGGCCGAAAGGTGAGGGCAAGCACAGCCTTTAAAAGTGGAAACAGCCTGCTTGCACAGAGCCCAGCATTTGAGAAGGGGCCCTTCTCTGCAGGGACCGCAGAGGGGTGTCTGGACCCCGTTCCCTAAGGAGCCGGTGAGCCACCCCTTAGAAGCCTGGCTCCTGGTTTCAGTGTCTCCTCCGTGACCCACTTCCTTCCACCTGATCTTTTGATAGAAATTATTGTCATCCTTGTTTTAAATAAGCTCATGGTGACTGCCTCAGCGAGCACTGAACCCCACAGCCTGACTCCTACCCCCTCTTCCCCTTGTTCCATCTCATCAACTTGTTGAGTGACATCTCTGGGGAATCTCTCTGACAAGGGTGCTCGTGAAATGCCTGGGTCAGCCTTTCTTATCCCCTGTGTCCACTTAGGTATTTCATTTCTCATAAACCAAACAAGACGTGGCAACAGGTGTTCTGGTTTGCCATCAGCATCGCCATCAACAACGCCTACATCCTGTATAAGATGTCGGATGCCTACCACGTGAAGAGGTACAGCCGGGCACAGTTTGGTGAGAGACTTGTGCGGGAGCTTCTGGGGCTGGAGGACACCTCCCCGACCCACTGATGCCACGGGCATGGGCCCCGGGCTTGGTAAGGACGAGGTGGAGGGAGAGGTTAGAGGGGGAAGAGAGCCTGCCGTCTGGCCTGCCCCGCCAGCGACCCGGAGCCACCCTGGGGTGTGGCTGAAGCCTGGGAGGGAGGCTTCAGGACTCTGGAGGGCTGAGGAGAGACCTGGTCAGAGGACGACGGCTATCCTGGCTTCTACTCAAAGAAGAGCACGTCTTCCCTCCGGCCAGGCCGCCCAGCCGCCCACCTCGTGATGACCCTCTGCAGGGGCAGGGCCACAGACCAGACTCCTCCACGCACCGTCCAGTGCTGCTCTCCGTCCTCATGACACCCCAGCGAGCCTGCAGGGGAGCTCTCCTCTTAGCACAGGGGGCCTGGGAAGGCTGTGAAAACCAAAGGCACCAGGGATAGGACGAGCCCTGTAGCATGATTTACTAGGAACGCCTGCTCGGTAGGTGTGAAGACATTTGCGATGTGGCTCCATCTCATGCCACGTCTAAAGGTGACGGGAGGAGCAAGGATGGGCTCTGCGTGCGGAGACGTCCAGCGTGCTTAGAGCAGGTCTCAAAGAAGACACACAAACTGGGGTGCCATGAAAACACAGTGATGAAATGGGACATGGTGGCCTGTTCTGGCCAGTAAACTGGGCCCTCCTGCTCGTCTCATCTATTCAGCTGCTGGAGGGGGTGGGGTGGGGGAGGGAAACTGCCAACAGAATCGCAGTGAAGTGTGATGCTATTTTTTATTTTTAAATATATCTTCAGGTTATTTTCTTACTGTTGCTTAAGATCTTCTGTAAAAGGAAAATGTCCCACTTCTTTTCTGCCCCGCCACCCTCCCGCCTCACCCCACTCCCGGCTCCTTTGCATGATCACGGTTCTGTGCCTGTGCCCTGCCCACGCTGGGGTCAGAGGGCAGCTTGCTTCCAGATCAGCGTGGTTGCTCTCCATCAAGGCCCACGGGGGGCTGCGGCCCTGAGCTTTGTCACAGTTGTTATCACTGGCAGAATTACTTGCTTTGAAAAGTAGGTGGCTTGGCTGAAGGGAGCAGCCACGGGTCTCTCCAGGTGAGCCCTGGCTGCATCTCTTCACTCGTGTCTGGGAAGCTGGCGGGGTTTGCTGGTCTCACACCCACCCTACCCACCCCCCAGGAATGGCGTGGCCGGCAGTGGCAAGCCCCTCGGTGGGACTGCGGTACCTGCTCGGTGGTGTGATTCCCATGGGGCTGGGGACTTGCCCACAGAAAGGGCTACACAACCAGCTGCTGGCCACGAGGGCGCCACCTGTTTCCCAAACATTCTCTTTCCAACCCGCATTGGCGCGTCTCTGTGGGTGACCTCGGCCAGAGCGGTCAGATGATCCGGCTCTCCTCACAGATGAGAAACAAGTAATTTCTGGAGTGACACCATCCCCCTCCCCCCACTTTATGTAGCCCCCAGATTTTCACAAATGCAAAATCTATTCTACTCAGGCTTTGGGACTTTTTTCCTCGTTCACACTCAGTTAACGGAAAGCATGCTCCCCCCGCGCTCCATGTCCCCCCCCGCACACTAGGTCACGGTGACTCCCCTCACCCTGTGGTTTTAACTCGACGCCACGGATTGTAGGTCAAATTTTAGATTGTTTCACACACCTTTGCCGTGTCCTTTGACTGGATTGAAAGCACTTTTACCACATGGAGAAATATATTTTTAATTTGTGATGCTTTTCTACAAGGTCCACTATTTCTGAGTTTGATGTGTTTCCAACACTTAGGGAGACTCTCATGAAAGCTGATGAATTTTCTTTTTTGTCCAAATAAGTCAAAGAAAAAAAATAAAAGTCTATTTAGATGTTGATTCTTTGTGAACATGTGAGTTTGTTTCAAAGGTTGGGGACAAAAATCTGGGTTATGCTTTTAAGACTTGCTTTCTTGGTCTATAATTTAGTGGATATAATCTGGTCATCTGATCGGTGTTCAGTATCATGAACCACTGAGCAGTTTAAAGAAATTCAACGAGCGCTGACTTATAGGAAGAGTCCCACGGGTAAGCTCGTAGCTTAGATGCCTGTGCCTTTGAAGGAAACACCTTCCCACCAGGAGATTCTGCCTCATCTCTTGTTTCGTGTTGCGTGGTGTTCCACGTAATCAGAAAGAGGCATCACCAAGTAACTAGTGCGTGTGACCACGTTTCAGGGCTGTTTTTTAAAGGGTAGCCACCTGGTTTCTGAGATGTGGTTATAAAAGACAGCAGTTAAGGGAGGTTTCTCATGGAGCCCCCACTACGTTGAGGAGTTTCTCTTTTCTTCCAGAATAAGGGCAAAGTGACACAGAATACTGACTAGGAAAATCCATGGGGACCCAGACCTAGGCTTACTGACAAGACTGAAGGGGCTGTAGGAACCGCTCCTGGCTGTCTCCCTGGGTGTCAGGACCCACGGTTGACAAGTGATTGGCTCATTTAGCAGCTGGCCATTATTGGTGACCAGGAAAGGGCTGCAGGGGTGGGGTGAGGAGTCCCCGGGCAAAGGCTGTAAGGCCCATGGGCCCCTCTGCATCCCATGGCCAATGAGACCCTTCCCACTCAGGTCCAGCCAATACATGGGAGGCCTTTGCCACTGGGTCTAGAAAAGAAAAACGGAGCTTTCAACTCCTCCACAAAACCAAACACCAACGAAGCTTCTAAGCGTCTCCAAAGAAAACCTCCATCAAGCCAGCTGTGAGTTAACCTGTCCTGCTCAGCCGCATGACCAGGACTATGTTTAGAATTAGGCTAATTATTGGGATAATTTAACTTGAATGAATGTCTGTTTGCATTTGCTACCTTCTTTACCAGTTTCTCTCTTTCATTTGCATTGTCTCTTTTCCCCACACTAGCTTCCCCAAAGCCTCCATTGGAAGGCTGTCTCTCTGGCCAATGGAACATCAATCTCAGGCAGCATTTCCAAACTTGGGCAAGTTACACAGCAAAGTCTTGGCTTCTGGATCATTCTAGGCAGAGATCCAGTTTGCTGACTACATTAAACAGGACCTGGCCACCATAATAGAATAAGCTGTGCAGGGTGCCAGATACAGGACAACAGACCTTAAGGACAAGGGTTGGAAGGTTCTGGATCACCCCAACTGGCTGTGCACCATCCACATTGCCAGGAACCTAGCATCAGCCTTCCAGTCGCTGGGGCCTCTGAGGGAGGAAGCTAGGCAGACAGGCCATTGTCAGTGAGGGGCATGAGGCGCTCTCCTCCAGGCTGCGCCAATGGCATCAGCATTTCCCCTTAGGGCCCTGGAAGGTTCAGGCAGAGCAGGTCAACCACAGGCTGTTGGGAGGGAGAGAGGCAACTCTGGGTGCTGTCCTCCCATCTGTAGGTCACAGCACTGTCCCACAGCAGGGGCTGAAAAGCTCGACAATAAAGACCAATATCTGAGGCCTGGTTCCTGTGGTGCCCGGTGCCTCCTGCGAGCCAGGGCTTTCACTCTCCAGGGAGCCTAGGAGATGGTACAGCTCTCATCTTCTCTTCAGATTCCAGGTGAGGAGAGAGGTTCACTGGCCTGCCCAGGTGAGCCACTGAAGGAGGCGGGGAGCGGTCTCATGACCAGGCTTGGCCTATACACTGGCTCTCCAGTTGCATCAAGCAGGCAGGGAGTTCCTGCCGCAGACCAGCCCAGCGGCGGCGGGAGATCGAGACAGTCTCAGGGATTGAGTGAGAACGAGCAAAAGGTGGTCGAAGGAATTAGGGCGGGGGACAAGAAAGAATGACACACAGACACACTCAAGGGAGAGTGAAAATCTGAGTGTAATTTGCTCAAATCATTACGCATATTTATACATTTTCAAGAGCCATTAGGTCACACAAAATCTATTTTCCCAGCATAACAATGTTTCTTGTTACCTAGGCATAGAACGCAATTTTCTAGCCAATGGTTTACAAGTTGCTAAGCATATGTGTTTACAATACATTTCCTGAAACTGATTTTTACATATATAGAAAAAGCCAGGTAAGAAAATAGTATAATTATAGACAAGTTGCTAAGTTACTACTTATTCAGAAACAATGACTAACTGGTTAATGGTTAAACTGCTTTGTAGGTAATTCCATCAGGCTTGTTTGTAGGCAACGCTCTTAGCAGCCTTGTTTTCAAGCAAAGAAGGGGTTTTTTACTGCGGGCTTATTGCCTAGATTGGGCTTATAGGCTTGTAGGCCTTGTTTGATCTGAACGCCAAAGTTTATCATGATGAAGCCCCTCGGGGACTGCGCCTGTCGTAGGTCGTCAGGAGTCACAGACATGAGGCTGGCCAGTGCCTTCTTTAGTCTGCCCCCGATCTTACCCGTCCTTGGCTGTCCAGTCCAGCGCACAGGGGAAGGGGGTCTTATTCACTCGGATGTACTATGTGTCTGAGTAAAAGCCTCCCTCTTTCCAGTATGTTCACTGGCGTTCCGCGGCAGGGGTTGCCGCAAGTTCCTTCGTGGTTTATTGACTGTTTTTAAAGGGTTTTTTCTCTTCTCTGGAGCCTTTAAGGAGTCGAAGCCTTTTTTCCCACCCCAGAGGAAAAAAGGTATCTCGGGCCAGTGTGGTGAGCCAGCTCCCAGCATTGCTGTTGCTTGCGGTGTTCTTCCCTTGTCCTAGGTCGAGGTGGGTGTTTCCCAGTTTCACAAAGCCCGCATCGACCTGGACGTGAGCCTCGCCCCATTTCTCCACCATCCAGGCACATCTCGGGCCCTGACCTCCGTCGGAGGTGACCTGGCACCTTCTGTTTCGGGCACAGCCTCGGGGGTGGGGAACTGCTCTGTGGGGATGCCTGGGCCCTTCTCCCTCTCTGCAGAGTGAACTGTCTCGTGCCATAATGTGCCATGCTGTGTGGAGCCTCTTAAAAAGGGGTGCCTGTACACTCTCACCCGCACTAGCTACAGGCTAAGTGGTTTCTTCCCGTCATATGGAAGCTAGACTTCTGTGTCCATATTTGGAGATGAAGCCCGAGGAAGAGGAAGATGAAGCCTGTCTTCCTTAAAATGTGTGCAGAGGGCGGACTGATGAGACAGGGAGTATGTGCATGGTCCGGGGTGAGGGTGCCTCTCAGATGGAAGGGGCCCCGAGCGGTCAGAGAAGTCACTTCTCTCCTCTTGCCAAGGGGTGCCCTGGGCTAGCGCACCTCCTTTTGATAGATCTCTTTAAGCTTTCTATCATTCTCATTGTTCTGCTAAGTCCACCTCAAAGCCCGGGTGACAGTTAACATGTGTGCTCCTGGTCTAGACGTGTTTGTGGCCTCGCTACGTGTGTATTTCACCTCATCCCCAGGACTGCCCTGGGAGCTGAGGCCACCAGAACCTCCCCCTCTCACAGATGGGCAAGGTGATGTTTCAGTGAGCTGGGCCACCTCCATCCCTCCACTGCTGGGCTCCACCACTGCACGGTGAGCAATGATGGGCCTGGCTTCAGCTGACAGCAGAGCCGCTAACAAGCAACACCTGCCTGTGCCCCAGGGCTGAGATACAATCACGTGCAGGTACTGGGCAGAGCTCAGGAATCCCCTGCAACTTGGTTATTGTCCCCATAAAATCTCCCCCCCCCCTTGTTTTGATCCTACTCCTCTCTCCCCCACTATAGTGTGTCTCCAGTTTATAGTTGTCTGTTGATTTTGATTTTTACTTTATTATGATTAGTCTTTTTCCTGGTCCCTTATTAAAGTTTTCTAAATTCCTGCTAGGAGGGAGGCCATCGGGTGTTTTTCTTTTTCTTTCTGGCTTATTTCACTGAGCATGATCCCTTCCAGCTCTATTCATGTTGCTGCAAATTGCATGTGTTTATCTTTTTGATTGTTGAGTAATATTCCATTGTGTTTTGATCAGCCCCTTCTGAGACTCACTGTCTTTGAAAACATCCAGCTTTACACCTAGCGCTTCCACCCCCAAGGCACAGGATTGGACAGGATTGGGGCGGGAGGGGATGGGTTTCCATTTCTGTAGTTTAGAAGATGGACCCAGGGCCTCATTGATGGTGCAGGCCGTACTATGAAGCTGTCCACAGCCTCTGCAGCGCCGGTTCGATCCCTGGCACCCAGAGAGGGTCCCACATGGCGCGACAGACCTCTTCTGCCACGCCCGCTGCTCCCCTCAGCAGTGTATTTCATCAGTCTGCCTGTTCTGTTCCCCACTCTGTCTCTGGTGAATCCTCTCACCCTCCCGCGCATCTGGCCTGTACCCCGGTTCTTATATAAATAAATAAATCTTAAAAAAAAACAAGATGGCCCCAGATGGCTGTACACACTTGCAGGTGTTAATTTAAGATCTGGAGTTGTGGTATTTTCGACGGAGGCATTTTAGGGTCCCTCATCCAATTCAGCATCACGCCATAGTCTCTGTGGCTTTTTAAAGTATATCCCTGGTCAGTAGTTATCAGTGAAAGACAGTGTCCAAAAGGGACAAACGCCCTGCTGGATCCTGAAGCTAACAGGCCATGTGTCCAGACCTGCATCCCACCCTTGGGCCAGTTAGGGGGAGTAGGGGTAAGGATAGGGGCCCACATAGAAACCAAATGACAGGAGGGGCAACTGGAAAAACCAGGGGTGATTAGGTTGGTGAAGACCCGGCTCACAACAACATCACCTTCTCCCCACTTTGGTGCATTGCACCGGCAAACTTCAGCATAGTGGGAAAAGCCATTCCCCACTTTTAGAGCTCCCCAACACTGGAGCAGGTCCCCTTGGAACTACCCTGCCTGTTACTGTCTCCCTCCTGCAGAGGCAGCACATCTCAGGGGAAGGTCCCAGGGGTGTTGTCATGAGATGACCTTGTAGGGGCAGGATGGCACAGGGCAGGATCTCTGTGACCTGAGCACACAGGGTAAAGGAGGAGTCTATGGAGCCCTCGGTGGCTTTTTCAGGCTTTTATTGGGTCTACCCAGTACACG